AGTTAGATAGCTGGGAGTTAGTTTGATGTTTTTCTTTTTCTGTTGGAAGTTTACAGTGGTGGTTTGAATAGGTGTGGCCCCATAGCTTGTAGGGAATGGCACTTGAGGAGGTGTGGCCTTACTGGAGGCAGCGTGTCCCTGTGGAGGTGGACTTTGAGGGCTCAAATGCTCAACTCTGGCCAGTGTGACACAGCCTCCTTTTGCTGCCCATTGATCAAGATACAGAACTCTCAGGTCCTTCTCCAACACCACATCTATCTGCATGCTGCCACGATGTAATGGACTAAAGCTCTGAAACTGTAAGCCAGCCCCAATGAAATGTTTTCCTTTCTAAGAGTTGCTGTGGCCATGGTGTCTCTTCACAGCAATAAAACCCTAACTAAGATGGTTACTAAGGATACTGAAGTAGCAGGTATTGTGGTTGGGAGGTTGGTTTAAGATGATTTTAGAAGATGGAAGTAGCTGGGAGCTTTGACATCTACACGCCTGCTTTGCACATACACATGAGATGACTGTCCCCAGAGATGAAAAACTAGGATGACAGAAACACAGCTTTCATTTCTATACCCCAAATTCTGTATCCTTAACAAGTCAGACAAGCTGCTTCTTTACTGGACCCTGTTGCTTATAATCTTTCCTGTATTCTAATTCTCGAATATTTCAAGTTCATCTTGGTGAACAAACATGGCTGGCACACCAGTACCCATGGTATAGACATACTCACTTTATATCTGAAGCATAGTCATTGCCAATTTCAGGACTGGTGGTGGTATGGCCATTAGCCTCTTGGTGTTATGAAATGCTATGCCCATGTATGTTTTTATGTGTTCTGGATTTTGAAGATATAAAATTAGGGATATACATTTAAAATAATGTTTCTTTATAGGGAAGGCTATATCTAACTTCTCAAAAAAGGTATCTGTCAACATATAGTTTTAAAATGTTTCCCCTCTTATATTTTCCCTAATAGTGGTAAGTATAGCTTTACTAGTAATATATTACTATATTAGTAGCATTTCCTAAATAAGAATATTTTTCTGATATGTCTTAAATTTTTTATGACACAGGTCTTATTTTATAATTCAGGCTGGCCTTGAACTCACGACTCTTCTGACTCAACCTTCCAAAATATGGGTTTTAGTCTTTTCTACCTTCCTTGATGTATAATTGACCAATTTAAACTTTATAGTTATGGTATTTTTTTTAAAAAAAAAACTAGTAATTAAATATGAGAGGGATAGAGATAAATTATGGGAGGAACTTTCCCATTTCCAGGCTGCACACCATGCTATTCAGGAATAATTATAAAGGAACAGGGGTTGAGCCTCAGGTACCGAGACCTGGGCGTCTGGGCAGAGTGACTGTCAGGCAACTATACACGTCAGTTTCATCTCAAAGTCTGGACTGGGGCAGGAGGCCATAGATAGCTTGGTCTTTTCTGCTTATGGGAACACTTTTCTGTCTTTGGTCCTCTTTGTACATCACTGAATGGGGTGAAAATGCTCCAAGATAAAAACATTCAGTTACTGCTTCCTGTTATTGAAAAGTACAATGCCTTGCACACCCCAGTGTTGGCTCTCATAACTTGGTGATGACAGCTTAGAGATTCAAGAAGCTTGTTACCTCCCATGTTCACAAGCGCAGCTCTTTGAATGTTGGGTACCCAGCCTGCCCACAGCCCGCGTATTCCTCCTTCAGCTAAGATTTTTGCAAACGCGTGGTGCACTCCACGAAATCTAAGGAAAATAACAGAGAAATGTTAGTCTCTGTGTTCTTGCACATGTGTAAATTTCACCTTCACACAGGCAAAGGAATGAGGGATGGTGAACAAGGTCTTGGGGAGCTGTGGGAGAGGCTCCAGGACAAAAGGCAGGGGGCCTTTGACCTCAAGTGCATTCTGCTACCTGGATTGGTCCCACATGTGATTGCATGCCTCCTGCAACAACTATTTGCACTCAATTTACAAGACATGTTTATTCTTGTTGGATGTCAGAACATAGCTTTAGAATCCAATCTGGTGAAATGACATGCTGAGTGTTGTGCTCAGTTCTGCCTTGCTTTGTGTCTACCCAGATACAATCTATAATATGTGTCAGGCAACTGTGTTTAAATTGCTCTGTCTTGAGAAATTTCTGGGGAAGAGCTGCTCTGTTAACATTTAGTCTTTGCTTACTGACATTTATTTATGTGTTTTTCTGAACTCCAACAACCTTCCTTGGATCATTGCTTTCTCTGTGACATTTGTGTACACTGAACCTGGAGTAAAGTTGTCTACAGCATTAGACTGTTGTAGTCCCCTCCATTTTTTAAGGTCTTCAAACCCAGGTCTTGTACAAGTCAACAAAGGTCAATAGATACAATTAGGAATGAAATAATATTCATTCAGAATAATTAGAAATTAAAGGATTATAAGAGTTAATTTCTAGATAATCTGAATAATTTTCTGCTGAAAGGTCAACCTTTGATTCAAACATTTCCCTTTTAAAAATGATTTATTATTATATGTATAAGTGGTTTGTCTGCATGTATGGAAGTGTACCACATGCCTGGATCCTATGGACCCAGAAGTGTACACTGGATCCCACTGGAACTGGAGCTACATGCGGCTGTGAGCCACCATGTGGGTGCTGAGAACTGAACCTGGGCCTGCTCCATGAGTAGCCAATGCTCTTCACTGCTGACCCAATCTCTATCCCAACATTTTCCTTTTTGTCTCTATTCTTTTTCTTTTCTAGTTTTGAGTCTTGTTATTTAGCACAAGCTGGCCTCAAACTTGTAAATCTCTTGCCCCAACTTCCTACGTACTAGGAGTATAGGCATGTACTGCTATGCCCAACATGATTTAAACATTTCTAATGGGCAGCATTATAAACTCTGTTGTCATTTTCTCTTCAAAGTTTAGTAAAATGGTCAAAATACCATTATTTGGAATTTTATATCACCAATTCTCACATTAATTACAGGAGGAAGCAATAGTTGTTAGCCTCCACTTTACTGGTGATATAGGGGCTCTCTCTCTCTCTCTCTCTCTCTCTCTATATATATATATATATATATATATATATATATATACACACATACATATACATATAATACATATACACTCAAACAATGCTAAAAAGCCACCGACTCAGGTCTGGGGTGTAGCTCAGTGATAGATCACTTCCTAACATGCCCCAAACGCAGCAAAAACTGACTCTCTCATACTCTTTTATCATCTTGGGCTGGAGAGATGGCTCACTGCTTAAGAGTATTGGCTGCTGTTCCAGAGGACCTGGGTTCAATTTCGAGCACCCACGTGGCAGCTCACAATCACCTGTAACTCCAGTGTCAGGAGATCCAATATCTTCTTCTGGCTTTCTCCCTATGTACACAGACATACATGCAGGCAAAACACCCATACACATGACATAATGGTAATAAAAATTTTTAAAAGTTTTATCTCATAAGCAAGATTTCCTTTTTAGGTCAAAAACTAGAAAAGAGGATCTAAGAATTCTTAATTAAATAACATCATCTTTGTGAAAATTACCATCCTATCTTTGTTTTGCTCTTACATTTGCATGCAGGGGAAAACCACAGTGGAATGTGAGACAATCTGCCAGTGTCTGTTAAGAGAAAAGCAGCCCAAGAGGCTCCGGAGTGGGATTCCTGCTTTTCACTTGCTAGCTGTGTGGCTTTTATGTAGGCACCACAGTCTCTGAATCTCACCCAGGGACAATGTGCCATTTTGACATGCATAATCGCTCCTGTGATTTGTTTACATGGGAACCCATGGTCCTGAGATTCACATGCTGTTTTCTTTTTCCTTCCTTCCTTCCTTTCTTTCTTACAATGAATCAAGTACAGCCAACCAAAACTTCCCAACATTAGAGGCAAAGGAAAGCAAGCAAGCTATCCACCCAACATATAAAAACAGAAACAAATGGAGCCCAGATGAACACGTGTACTTCTGGGTTTTTGTAGTAGGCTTTCAGAGATTAGAAGCTCTTAGAAAGGCAACAGGACAGGCAGTGTAGCCCCTTGCTAAGTCAGAGTGCTGTCTTTTGCCTGATGAGCACTCCCTCCCCACCCACATAATGCTGCAGGAGGCTCAGGCTACTGCAGGGCAGGCTAGAGAGTGTTCAATGGTGAACACTCAAGGAAGGCACCAGCCCTGCTCATAAGGTCCAGCTCAGAGTATTGGCAGGAGCAGAGCTCTTCAGACTCAGCTCAGGTCTCCTGCACTATCCTTGGCTGGGACAGTCTGCTTATCAGAGCCTATCCTTTCCCAAAAGAAACAGGCTAAAAGAAATTAGCATCATTGACCTTTCAACATTCTTTCCAAAAGGAAAAATAAGGTTTTTAGAGACAGTAGTGCTAGCCATCAGGAATCTCTTTATAAAAATGAAGACAAGGCTGGGTGGTTTGGCAGGCAGCATCAGGCAGTCCTCTAAATATCTAGTTTGGATACCTGAGTAGAGTAGATCCTGAACTAACTCTCTCTCTCTCACTCTCTCTCTCCCTCCTTCCCTCCCTCCCTCTCCTTCCCTCCCTCCCTCTCCTTCCCTCCCTCCCATTCTCTTTCCCATTCTCCTTCCCATTCTCCTTCCCACTATCTCTCCTCTTGAAACGCAGTGTCACCTATAGACCAGGGTAGTCTTGAGTTCACTTCCTACTTCAGGTTGGCCTCACACTCTCAGCAATTCTGCCTTAGCCTCCCATGTGCTGACATTACAAGCCTAAAAGACAATACATGGCTGTCTAAATTGTTTATATCAACTTGGATCAGGGTGAAGGGACCAGACCCTCACCCAGCCCCTTGCTTTAATAGCCATGACAGGCTGCAGAAAAGACCCAGTAAGATGTAGACCACTGACTCAGCACATGTCTGATCTTGCCAGACCTGCCCCAGTCACTAGGAGGTCAGATACCCTCCATGTGGCAAGGAACCAATCAGAAGTTAGCTGGCAGACTCTGGATGTGCTTATGGTAACAATGGCATAACAGGGCATGTACAGCATAGCAACTGCCCTGGGAGGGCCTATAGGCCATAACAACCAGTTGACCAATCAACTCAGGCCAGGTCATCCAGGCTCAGAAGCTCACTAATCCTGAGACTGTTGTGAACCCCCTAGACACTCCCCTTGCTCACCCCAATAAATTCCCCGCCTCGATGTTCCCCTGGGTCCTTCTTACACCATTGATTGTGTTGGGTTAAAGAGGGAACTGAGTTAAGACAGTTAACTCGTTAAACAATAAAAGACTATTTGCTTTTGCATCAGAATGGTTCTCTTGGTGATTTGGGGGATCAGAATTTTGGTACAACAAGGGAACTAGTCTAACTGCCTTTTGTAGGAGGAGGAGCAAAGAGTTATAAACACACGATACAGAGCACATGCAAGTCATTGTGCAGTCGGGCTAGCATACCTCTTCACAGATGCAAGTTCAAATGGAAAACATCAGTGTTAACTCCTTTAGTAGACATTAGATCACAAAAGCAAGGTATTAGATAAACGTCCAAGAAACAGGAGACTGAAAATGGGAAGGAAAAGTAAGTTTCCTGGGTGACTCACCTCAAGGGCTTCCCTTCCAGCTTCCGTTTTCCCTCCATTTGCATCTGAACTTTCACCAGGTCGGTGGGGTTGGCTAGAAACTGCCCAATGACACCAGCCATCATCCCTCCAATGACCGATTTCCTAATCGCAAAGGGAACAGTTGGTTTGCTGTTTTGTTTTGTCACCCATTTCACAGATTTTATAAGGGAACCACACTGAACTTGCATAGGCCCTGGGTAGAAGGTTAAAGATACAGTAAAACACAGACAAAGGACAGAAAAGCAGACAGCCTGACTCTTTATTGGTGGGCAGGTCCAGGGATCAAAAGGCACTAAAGGGAAAATCTGAAATCCTTCCACCTGAATCAAAAGGAAAGAAAAATGGCTGTAATGGTACAGACACTTGGTCTCATTAATTCTCTGTCCCTAGCCTTATGACTGCAGGGTGAAAAAACAGCAGACATGCAATCAGCCTAAGGGGTGAAGGTGGGGAAGCCCCAATTTTAAGCCATGACTGAGCTGGTTTTCCAAGTGACAGGTTTGATAGCCTTCCTCCCTCTGAAGAAACTTGTAGGCTAAAGCTCCTCTACTCTCAGCCAACAGTGAGCAGGATTCAGCCATAACAATCACAGTGTTGCAACCCCAAATCACACATTAGAAGGTTTAACAGGCAGTGTATGTTATAAAAGGTTCTATTGCTTTACATTTTGACAACACTTTAAAGGGAGTTTGAATTAATTCCCCTGTTTATTAGTGATGTTACTTGCTTTGACATGTGTAATGAACATTTATACTTCTTTTGGGAACTGGGTCTCTCAAAATGCTTTTCTTGTTTTCCCTGGGTGCTAGCTATCGTTTTTTGTTTGTTTTAATGTTACAAATTCGGATTATTTATGGTGAGCTATTTACTATTTTACAAGTATTTTTCTTAATCTCTCTCTCTCTCTCTCTCTCTGTGTGTGTGTGTGTGTGTGTGTGTGTGTGTGTGTGTGTGGTACCTGAGGGGGCTAGAAGGTGGCTTCAGATCCCTTGGAGTTGGTGTTGAAAACTGAACTCTGGTCCTCTAGAAGAGCAGAACATGTTCTTAGCTGCTGAACATCTCTCCAGCCCCTGTGAACTACTCTTTATAATTTCTGTTATAATTAAAAACAATTTGTTTGAGACAGGGTTTTCCTGTGTAATAGTCCTGACTATCCTGGAACTTGCTTTGTAGATCAGGTTGGCCTGGAACTCACAGAGATCTGCCTTCTTCTGCCTCCCATTGTCTGGCTATAAATTTTAAATTTTAAAGCAATAGGCACTAGTAGATTATCTCATCCAAAGGTAGGCATCACTTGTGCAGTGGGGAGAACCGAAGGTGGGAGAGGTGAGGCAGTTTATCCATGTTCCCTGTTAAGGGAGAAAAATGGGATGCAAGCCCATCTCTTAAGTTTAAAGCCCTGAGGTTTTCAAAAGGAAGAAGAACACACATGGCTGTGGTGAAAGCTGCCATAGGAATTCTTATTGTATAAAGGTACTATGGTTCTTTAAATTTTCTCTTTTTTAGTGTGTGTAAGAGAGGGGGGAGGGACACACGCGCGCGCGCGCGCACACACACACACACACACACACACACACACACACACACACAAAGAGAGAGAGAGAGAGAATCAGAAGACAAAGACAACTTGTGGGAGTCATTTCTCTTTCTAGCATTTAAGTCCCCATGATTAACTCAGGCTTGGAAGCAAATTTCCTTCATCTACTGAGCCTTCTCACTGGCCTGCTAATAAGCAATGATATGATGGAAATATGAGTCTTTGGCATGAACAAAACGAAAGAATGTAGTACTGAACTTGTGTCACAGAGACCCACCTGGAAACTGAGTGTCAACTCTGTACAGGTTGATTTGGATCTCAGCCTGTAAGTGTAATCAAGGCTACAGAGATACAGGAACACACCAGGCATACAGAGAAAAGAGAACACAATTCCTCAACATTCAGGAATGAGCACACATCCTTGGAGCACTGGGCTTTTCCTGTGAAACACTGATGACTATGGCTGGGTCTTTGCCTTGGCCCTTAGAATCATAGTTGGAGGCCCATGTAAGAAGAAAAGACAAAAGAGAGCCAAAGAGATGCTCAAGGGTCAAAGAGCGTAGTGTCCAGGAAGCCAAAGAAGTCAGTGACTCAAAAGAACCAGAGGCACCTAAATACCCCGGACAATGAGGATTTGGTTTAAAGTACATCAAATGTATTCATTATTCTTACATCTTGGGAATGGAGTACATTAGTGTATGGGTTCAAGTCCCACAACTGCTAACGTTCTTTTCCAAACTTCTACATTTACAACCTAAAAGCAAAAGAAAGAAAAAAACTTATAAAAATGAAAAAAAAGCAAGGACAATAGAAAAAAATTAAGTGACAACCTCAACTTCAGAGAACAAGAAGCTTTAAATATAAAACTGTTTGCTAAATGTGCTTTGGCAGAACTGACAAAGGGTGTATCTTCAATACAGTGTCTTCCTTCTGTTATAAAAAGGGTCCGAATAATACAAAACAAGTTTTGCAGGAAGCCTGCTGTCCTTTATAGGACTGTGAAATCCACTCCCAGGTATTTCTTCTTTAAGAAATTTCACATGATTCCTAAGGGAGGCTATGCTAGCCCACTGTCTGAAACAAGCAAGAGCTGTCCAGCGCAGAAGACGATAGACCTTACTGTTAGCCTTCATTCAGCAGAACTGATACAAAAAAGGGGAAACATGGTGTACTTCCTGGACACAAGCTTTAAAAACTGGACCACACAAAAACTTATAATAATACCTGAAAAAAAGACCCTGAAAAAAAGCAGAAACAAAACATGCATTAATTACAAATTAGCTCGCCTCTAGAGAGATGCTAGTTTACTCTTGGGTGATGTTTTCTGAGAGAATAATTTTTCATTGAGAAAATTAATTTTGGGATTAATGGTATCTAAGTAAAAGGCACATGGAAGAATGCATTAGGATGTAAAGGGTTTAAAGGACTTTATCGGGTATATAGTGCCTTGAATTTACCAAAGCATTTCTGAAAGTGAGACTGGTGTCGTTTGAATATAATTATAAAAGTACATGGCCGTGCAATGATTTAGTGTACTACTTTCATATTCATTAAAACAGACTAGCTACAATAAAAGTCCTGTGCTGGCTAGTCTCGAATTAACTTGGCACAATCTAGAGTCATTTGAAAAGAGGGATTTGCAAATGTCTCCCACCAGACTGGCTCATAGGCAAGCCTGTGTGGGCATTTTCTTGATTAATATCTGATATTCTGAGAGGGCCTATGCCACTGTGGGCAGTGCCTTCCCTGGGCGGGTGTTTCTGAGTTATTTAAGAAAGCAGGCTGAGCAAGCCAAGGGGAGCAAGCCAGTAAGCAGCATTCTTCTGTGGTCTCTGCCTCAGGCCCCACCTCCTCATTTCTGTTTTGAGGTCCTGCTCTGACTATCCTCCGTGATGGTCTCTTACCTGCAAGTGTAAGTGAAATAAATCCTTTCCTTTCCAAGTTACTTCTGGTCATTGTGCTTTATCACCACAATAAAAAGCTAAGACAATGGCATTTGAAAAAGGATGCTCCAATTAGTGATGCTCCAATAGAATTCTTCATTATTATTTGTTTTTGAGACACGGTCACAGGTAACGGAGGCTGGCCTTAAACTCTTTATCTTCCTGCCTCTACCTCTCAAGGGCTGGAGTAATAGGCATGTAGGCATGTCTCCACTCCCCAACCATTGGATTAGTTAAGATTAAAATATTGGATAAACAGGAGTAATGTACATATGCACTGCTATGTATCTGTACACAGTATGTACACAACTCTCACTTATTTGGATTTCTATTATTCCTTAAGTCTGTTACGAAAAGCAATTTTAGTACAAGTGGATAAGTTTATGTAAATATAATCAGTAAACATTAAAGTCTCTGTGGTCATGACATACTGTTTTCCAAACTAAACTTACCAGAGGGGATAATGTTTATCTTCACTTTTGCCAAACACAACCTCCCGGAGATGCTCATAGGTGACCATCCGGCCTCCTGAATACACTGCATAAAACAGAGCGTGAAAACGCAAATTCAGTCTTGTATCTAAAGAACTAAGAGGACCTTGTGACCTGGCCTCACTAATCTCTCAGGGGAGGAATTCTGACTCCTTGTCTGATCTCTCTAGAATAAATCCTCCCTTCTCCGCTTTGCTTATCTTCATCTTTTGGGACTTGGCTCACTGTGTTTTGGGGAAAGTTGCTCTTGGTATCCTTGGCCCACATTGCCTGTTCTAACACAGCAACTATCAAATTCATTAGCAATTAACTTCTTATTTTCCCTCATGGCTTCTCCAGGTGGGGTCTGTCTGCATTCATTAGCAATTAACTTCTTATTTTCCCTCATGGCTTCTCCAGGTGGGTTCTGAGTGTTGGTTACTTATTATTTTTTGACAGACATTAATTCACCAAACTTGAGTCCATTTATTGTCTTACACACAACTACATCTAAGCTCAAAGTCTGAAGGGTTTCTGAATTCTAGAGCTCGCAGGAAGGCTAGGAAAGAGGAGCTATGCCTGTCTTCCTGGTCAATTTGGACCATCTTGAGAACTACCACAGGGAGGGGAGCAGAAACAGAATGAAAAGGAACCCCACAAAATAGCTTTGTTTGTTGATTTCAACTCAAACACAAAAGTAGGAAGCTTGGTATACAAAGGATCTTCTCTCTGAATAAACAAATGTAACTGCACCAGAGAATTCATTAACATTTCTTCCCTTCCAGGTTTTAGGCACACCGAGAAAGATCTCAACTGGAGAACAACGAAGTGGCTCACACAAATGAAAGAGGCAAACCACGGAAAGGTAATGGGTCCAAAAGAGAAACAGTTTAGAAGATAGAAAATGCATCATTAAATTCAGTACATGGTGCCCATACAAGAGATTTTTTGATATGAAATACCAAACTTTTAGGAAGCTTGACTTGTTATTTCATAAAAAATAATAAATTATAAAACATTATAGGTTTCTGTGCATAATTCTGACTCTTTAAAAAAATTCTACACTAACCTACTCATGTGAAGAATGGAATATTAACAGCAAGCCTGCACATGATTAAAATTGATGCTTTCTGGGCCAAGGAAACAGCACTAAGGTGAAGAGGCCTAAGGTCATACAGACTCAGCGTCTCTTTTGAAGCAACTTCATGTTCTCCAGTCTACAAGCCCATTCCTGTGGGTGGTGCCCTGGAAGCAAGCAGGGTTAGAAAAGTTTTCTCTATGACAGTTACCACTAATAATCCAAAGAAGCACTTAGTCTGGAAACAGAGACAAAGGTAGGTTCACCTGTTCTCTGCCTACCCTAGTGCCACAGCTAGATGAGGCAAGGCTCCTTGCCCTCTGTCAGGTCAGCCTAGCTGATCTCTGATGTACAGGGCAAAGATAAATATATTTTAACTTTCAAAGAACATGAAAACATTTACCTGAAGCTCATTCAGAACTCTGAATTTAAAACCTACTTCAATTTTTACTGTATTTAAAGTCTCTGAAGTAAGGGAAAAATGATGTAAATTATTCATGTTTCTTTGTCTTATATCATTAAAGAACAAACAGGGAAAAATACTCAAACATACAGCCAAGTCGAAACAATTATAACTCCCTTTATATCAAGATTTACTAGGTGGTAACACTTGTTCAATTATCTTAAAGTGCTTTGTAGATATGGTGGTAGTTTATTGTTTTTTTTCCCCCATGTGTATGTGTGTGTGGTGTGGTTGGCATGTAGATATGCACACGTGTGTGTAGAACCTTATTAGTGTGGCTCCGAATGCACATGTGTGCATGTGCGGAGGTCTGAAGCTGACATCAGTTGTTGTCCTCTGCACTTTCGACTTTATTTATTGCTCACCACTTCCAGCTAGCCTAGCTGGCCAGCTTGGCCCAAGGATCTCCTGGACAGTTTCAATATGTCCATATGCCATTCTCAAAACTTAGGGCACTAACTCCTAAATAACAACTGGAAATATTTTCTTCTACTGATTTACTGTATCAGTGAGGAAAATAAATAAAACAATGTTCTTGCTGGATTTTTGGATACAGCTGAAAAGCAAAAAAATACAGAACTCAACAAACTTACCAGTTAGAATCAAGATAAATACCTACGTGTCTGTAAATGGCAGGCGTCACTCCTTGCCACAACTTTAGGAAGCCTTCTTCCTGGACAATTCCCAGGGCCGTGCGTACCATGCCCCTATAAGGGGCAGATTCGGTTGCACCATCTCCCAACCTAGCAAGGGCAGCTTCTCCTTGCATCTGGAGTCGTGTTTTTGTGAGATCGAGGGGAAAGGTTGCTAATGAAATAAAAAACAAACAAAGGGAAAAACCCAAAACATTCAGACAAACAAACAAAACTTCTAAAATCATAGGATTAATACTCTCCCACGATTTGGAGATTCTGAAATACGAGAATATAGCAGACTCAGCCGGGGAATCTGTGAAAAGTACACACTTCCAATCCCACTCACAGGCATTCTGAATTAGTAGAAGGGTGATTTAGAAGACAGATTCTCAAATCTAAGACTCACTGCCCTAAAGCATCGAAGATCATCCCCAGATTAAACAAAACAAAACAAAACAATAAACACAAAACCAAAAGAATGCCACAAAAGTAGGACAACCCTTGATCTCTTTTCAATAAAAAATGTTCACTATCAACTCCCTTCAATTTCCCCAGTGAGTAATAGCTTATAGTAGCCACATTCTGTTGTGTCTCCCTGACCACAGCCACTACTATTTGAGAGCTGATACAAATTTAGAAGAAACTTGAAGCTGAATTCTATGATGTCATGGGTGTTTTTCCCACAAGAACAAGCCACAGAATTATTTTTTTGAGCTGCAGAAGATGCAATGAAGTTAGAAGTTAGAGGGGTGGCAATCCTCAAAATTCTTCAAAAATTATGTTTTTCTGAACTAACAAGTTTTACCCATGGTCCATTCATGAGTTCTTTGTTAGTTTCAACTTTATTCATTGGAAAACTTGTCTACATGTCAAATTAGAAACTTTTTTTTTTTTTACCTAAAAGCATATTTTAGCCACCCACATGAGGAAGATTAGACCTATTACGCCACAGTGCAATGTCCTGAATAACTCTAAGAAGGGTATTGAGATGAGGTCATGAACATTGCTGATAGTACATAAGATTTTTCAGTGACCACTACCTGATCCAGACTCCATGAATGCCTTTTCTAAGAAGAGAGAGAGAGAGAGAGAAGGAGGGGGTGAAGGGGTTTTACATATTTCCACTAAGTTTTGAAAAAAGCATCTAGCAAATAATTTCCCTAAACAGATGTATCTTGCATATGCATACTTTTAAAAAGTGTTTTATTAGTATATGAAGCTAAAAATATATAAAGAGGTAGAAGCCTCTAAGTATAAATTCTGCTTCCCAAAACATATTTTTTTGTTTTGTTTTTGTTTTGGCTATTTCATAGTTCAGGCTCTCATGCTGAACTGGTGTGTAGGCCCCTCCACCAGCTAGTTTCCATTCCTTAAGCCTCCTATCCCTATTTTTTCATATAATTTTCACCAGCACATTGCACAGGAGTGCTCCTAGACAAGCCAATGAGCTTTAGGGAGGAGTCAAACTGTTCTAATCACTCAGTCATCTGACTTTAGACATCTGTAAACGTTGGCAGATTTTATTTCAGAAAGTGAATGATGAAAAATGCTCTGTTAACTTTGAGAGGAGAGAGACATACACATGAGCCCAAGAGCAAGAAGGAAAGAGTCTAAAGGGGAAACAACAGAGTGTGGGCTATGCTTGTTATAAAGATAGATAAACCTCTGCTAGGACAAGACTGAGTAACATTTTCAAATGACTAATGCACTAGATACATCCCCCTGTCTTTCTTTTTTTAATAGACAAGAAAATGTAAGGGTAATCTGAAATAGCTTCACAGAGACCACTGTTGCACTCACCACCCCGCTCCCCAACAAAACACCATCTGCTCCTGTCAAGGTACCATAATCCACTCTAGGTGGTCTGTTCATTTGTGGGCTTTTTGTTTTTTCTTTTGACTCACTTAGACAGATGAATCTGTTCTTTCTATGATGTTCTTGTGATACACAAAGATAGCTTCTCTTGCAACAGGCAGCAATTGTAAATGTCTTTCTCTGCTTGTGCCCAACTAGCCTGAAAGAAGGCTACACAGGGGTCTTTGCAATTATAGAGCCAGGACCCACTACTGTATCGACTATATTAACGCCCCAATTAATAGCTACCCTGCCTTGAATTTACTATTTTTATAAAAATTACTTCTCAGAGTCCCTCCTGTAGAGTAAACAAGTACAGGGTCAAGAAGTGATGTGGCTGGGTGACTTTAGGCAGACGTTCAGTAGGAATGGTTAGTAATTGAAATCTCCAAGGTGGGGACCCCTGGCCCCTGCCCTGCCCTGGAATCTTAAAAGACTCCCAGGCTGCATAAGACTATAAACCTTGAAAATGAGGATCCCACGGAGGATAAAAAACAAGTGAACAAATGGACTATAATTCCAAAAAGGTCATCCTCACGAAGGGGTAAATGTTTCCTAGAGGGGTATGAGGGCTCATGAAGAGCCCAAGAGTACTCGCTCAGGCATAAGACAACATCCCCGGGGATGGGAAGACAAGGACCCCGCACGCCTCCAATCCATGCTCCTCCCGAAGCTGGCCTACTGGGCACCTGACCACATCCTTGCGAGGGCGCAACCTCTGAAGATGCTCCAGCGTGGAGCGGGGCTGCCCGCCCATCCCTCCCCCAGCCGCAAAGCCGCGGCCACTAGCTGGGGAGGCCGAGGCGGGGGCGGCCGGTACCTAGCTCGGCCACGGTTGCGGCGCAGCCGGACAGTAGGAACTTGCTCGTCCGGGGCCATCTCTGCGTGAGCGGCAGCAGCGTCTCCTCCTCCTCGGGGACAGACATTCGGCAGCAGGTCGGGACCACTGGGCACCCCTGGTCTCCTGTGCACCTGCCACCCTGCCGTCCCCACCCCTTTCCAGTCCAAGAGCGGTCAGGGAGGGACCATGTGCGCCTGTAAGGCACTGCAAAGCCGCCGCCAGCTTAGTGGCTGGGGTGGGGCGGGGGCCGCCGTCAGGTACTGAAAAACAAAGCGGAACCCAAGAGGCTTCTGGGAAATGTAGTTCTTTGGGCTCCGCGATATCTCTGATTGGCTGGCAGCTAGGCGCCCTCTGCAAACAGCCTGCTTCTAGATATCTAGGCTACAGCGCGTGTTCCCGCCTCCCGCCCACCGGTCCCAACCCAGGCCAGGGTAGTCAAACTAATTGCTTTTTTTTTTTTTTTCCCCCTCCTACTGGCCAGAATTTCAATGCAATGCGAAGGGGGAAGGGAGCCACAATGCAAAAATCACACAAAAATTGGGGCGGGGCAAAGGAGCTACAGTTACGCAAGAGAATTAGTGGCCAAAGTTTCGGCTCAAGAGTTTGGAAGACCGGGTGCGTTTTCCTCAGTCAAGAAGGACGTTTTCAAAACGTCTGTGATTCTGGAAGATGGACATCGTGGAATTATTCTCACCAGTAGTAATCGCCG